TCAACACCTTCCTCCCATAATTTCTTCAGATCCTCAATCAAAGGTGCCAAATACACATCAATATCGTTTCCGGTTGTTTTGGCCCCAAGATCATCAAAGATAGCATGATATACTTTCTTTTCATACATAACCAAGGAGGCAAGTTGTAAATTACGAGGAGCACTGGCCAAGCACTGTGTGTGCTACTAAGATTACCATATGGGTTAATTCCATCCGTACAAAGCCCTAGTCGAAGGTTTCTTGGCTCGCCACCAAATTGAGGAAATTTTTGATCTATTGTTTTCCATTAGAGAATCTGCTGGGTGACGAAGCTTTCCATCACATATTTTCTCATCAAAATGCCATCTCAAGTTCTTTGCATCTGTGGCGTTAGCAAATAGACGCTTAAATCGTGGTATTATTAGAAGATACCACAGAACCTTTAAAGGAGAACCTTTGGTCATCTCATTATAATCACCATCATCTTTCTTCATTTTGTATCTTGAAGTCCCACATTTAGGGCACTTATTCAACTCTTCATAATCATTTCTGAATAATATGCAGTCATTAGGACACGCATGTATCTTCTCATATTCCAAACCCATCGGACACAAAATCTTTTTTGCCTCATACATTCGTTTCGGAAGTGAATTCCCTTTGGGAAGAATATCACTCAGCAATTCAAGCAATTCCGTAAAACTAGCATCGGTCCAACCATTTCTTGCCTTCAAATTCATCAGTTTCAATACGGTTGTCAATCTTGTGTAATCATCTTTGCACCCTGGGTATAAAGGTGTCTCTGCATCACTACACAAAGTTTCAAGGTGGAAGAAAACTGTGTAGAGGATTCAGACCTTATATCACGAAACATATCCGAAATTCTATCACCAAAGTCTTCATTCACAACCTTCTCATTTGCAGACAGTGTAGTCTTTCTAATTTCTCCATGCCATATCCAATTTGTATACCTCAAATTTATCCCATCACATATAAGATGCTCTTTTATCTCAGAAATACTCCGTCGACTATTGTTTAAACATTTGACACAAGGACAATAGTACAATCCATCTCCTTTACTAGGGGCATTTCTCTGAGCAAACTCAAGAAACTTTTCAACCCCATCCTCATATTCCTTGCTAATTCTCTTAGCTTTCATCCAACTACGATCCATTGTTCTACAGATTATTTAAACAATACTTTACTATCAATCAAAATTCATAAAGAAGGAAAAAAACACAAAATAACTAACAGATTATTTATCACTAAATTCTTATATTTATTACAAAAAAAATTACCAAAAATCGAAATAAATATCAAAAAATTATAAAAAAATTTAAAAACTTCACAACTAATCAACTCCAAACATTTAAACATATTTCTAATACAGTATATAAAAAGGAATTAAGGTTTTCTCACATCTAATACCTATCAATCAACACCAATCAACGGTTCAACCACATAAAAAATGCAAAATGAACAATACAAGCCAACCACAATGTAAAACTAACAACCTCATTTCATATATAACAGATTTTCATGGCCAAAACATTCAACAAACCAAGAAAAATTGAAAAGAATGAAAGAAGAGGATACTCACAGAGCAGAGAAGCTTCAAACGCGAAGTGAGGCGGCAGCGACGGCGGCAACGCACCACAAGCCCAATGCAGGAGTTTAAACGGTTAGATAGTGGGGGGTAGGACCGGTTTTCGGTGGTGGACCACGGCTGAGCAAGAACAGACAGAAATGGGAGGCGTTCGACCATGGCGGACTGCGGCGCACGGCGGCAAGGCACCAAGAGCTCAATGGAGGAGTTTAAATGGTGGGATAGTGGCGGGAATGGCCGGTAATGGCAGTTTTACGATGATGGGGCAGAGGGGGACCACGGCGCACTGAAGAAATGAGGAAGAAAGTGACCAAAATCGAAGCGGAGAAAGGTAAAGATACACACTTTCCACGGCGGTTTTCTTAAAAACCGCCGTGGAAAGTCATGCCCTTTTCAAACTATTTACAAAAATGCCACCGTGTTTTTTTTCACGTCGTTTTTCTGCTGAACCGCCGTTAGTTTGTGACATTAAAAGTCTTTTTTCTAGTAGTGAAGGCTTGAAAAGAACACGAATCAAGTAGTTCTAGCTTCGTATTAATTGAATTTCATGACCTTGGAACCAAAGAGGATGCCACAGCCTGACTAGTTCTTGTACCTAGGGTGTGATTTTGTTGATTCTAAGGCTTCCAATGGATTTAGAATGGAAAATTATGTAGGAATGAGATGAAAGAATGAAATTGGAAGCATTGGAATCAAAATTGGAATTTAAGTGGCAAATTTCAGTTTTGGCCTAAAACTAGGGGAAGGAGTTGGATTTTGATGAATCTAAGTTCATATTTGGATTCCTTGGGTAAAATTGTATAGGATTGGCCTAAGAGAATAATTTTTTACAAAGTTAGAACATTACATTATAAATTAAGGAAAAGAAATTAAGTTTAAGGGCATAAGTCTTCCATATTGTGTAGTTCTTGGTCCTAGTGAGTAGTGAGTAATGTGACTCTTGTGACTGTGATTAGGACCTTGAGATATCTAAGAGAAGGTTTGGATGTGGTTAACTTAAAGCTAGATGGTTGGAAACTTTAAGGAGCAAGTTGAAAAACAAGAGAAAACTTATGGTGCAAGGTAGCAAACTTTATCCTACTCTTATGTGCTTGGTATTTGCTTGCATGTATGACATGTTTATATGTTTATATGACTTTTTCAACTCATGTGTTGTGATTGTGAATGTGTTTGAAATATGCCATAGGCCTATGTATTTTATGATAAATGCATGATGATTTCCTAACATGTCACTATGTTATAAAGATGTTAAGTTGCAAGCATGTTATAAATTTCAAGCTTGTCATGTATGTTTGAGTGGTTATTGTTTGCTACTGAGATTCTCCCGAATCTCATCCCTCCCTAACCAAGCATTTAGGTCAATCAATGATGGACAATGATTGCATGAGGGACAACATAAGAAGGAAGGAAAGGAAAGTAGAGAATTATTGATGTTAATGATTGGTTAAGGATTTGTGTATAATTCTCCTATTATGTAAATTATGTATATGAATTCTAAGGATGCAATGTATTTGTTTAGAATGTTTATGGCATGAATAAAAATGTATGAGAATGAATGGGAAAGAATAAGGCCAAGTTATACATGTCAAAACAGTAAAAAAGAATTAAAGTAAGATTTGGTTAAGAGATAAAACGCAAATCCTCAAACAATTAACTTCCAGCTCTAGTTTGACCTATTACATGAATGAATTAAGTTATGAAATTTTGCAGGCATATAGTACACTCCCAACTTTAAAATGAGAGGTAGATCACCTCAATTGGATGTGTATACTAAGAGATACGAATTTTCAAAGTTGAGGCAAGAAATCTGAAAGTTCCATAATTTACTAAATGAACAGTGATTTTTAGAGATTAAACTGTACGAATTGGCTTGGTATAAATCTAGTTTGATATTTTTTCCCCTTAAAGAGTATTGAAAGAGCTTCAAGAAGAAATTTGAACCACCTCTATATGACTTTTGTAGAATTAGTTATGATTTTTCAAATTTGAATTGAAAATCTAGAGTGCAACCAATGGATAATAACCCAAGAATCAATTATAAATTTTCAATCTACGGGTTTGTTTTTTGATTTGCTTGAACCATAATACTTCCAAATACGTATTCTGAGGGGTTAAAAGAAGAATGTTTCATAGACTGAGTTAAACCCGTAATAATTAAAATAATTTAATTTAATTACAAAATATTCATATATATAATTTTTATTCTTATTCTTATTTCTTTGTTCTCTTTTCTCTCTCTTTTTTGTGATTTCCTTACATGACCGAATGCAATCCTCTTTTCTTTATTATTTTATAGTTTACACTTTTATCTCTTCCTTTTCTCTCTCTCACGTGAATGTCCATCACAAGGTCTCCTTTTTGGCTTTTTCTTCCTCTCTCCTCTTGAGCAGCCAAGTACTCCTTGAAAGTTGAAACATCTTGATTCTTTTCTTTCTCATTCAAACTCTGAAATTCATTCCTCCCTCTTCATTTCTCTTTCTTTTTCAAACAGAGAAGATAAACAGTGACTTTTTTGTTTTCTTTCTGCACATCCATTCTACTCTGCTATTTATCCTCCTCCTTGCCTTCCACTCTTCCACTAGCATAGGTTTGAGACGGCACACAAGAGGCTTCCAAATAGGTCTTTCTTTTCATGATTTTTTCTGCCTCTACCACTTCTCTCAACCATGTTTATGTCTTTTCCAATGAACCGTGAGACGGTAAGAGTAAAGAAGAAGGGGAGGAAAAGAAAACCGTTAACCCACCCACCCCAATGGTTTTGCTGGTTTTTACCGGTTTTTTCTTGTCCATTTCGGTTTGATTTGAAGTCGGTTTATTCTTCAAACCAGACCAGACTGGAGGTCAGTTTTTCAGTTGAATCGGCCAATCAGGCCCGGTTTTTTTTTCATTGTTAATTTGTTAAAGATATTTATCCCCCCACTCAACTAGGGAAATCACAAATTATTTATTTAGTACATTTATATTTTCAATACGTTTACTACGCAAGTCAAAACAAATTAATTAATTAGTTACCTAATCGGTAATAGGATAACCCACCACTAATTTTTTTTGATAATCAGACAATTTATTTAATAAAATAAAACGTTAGGCACCATAAAAAGGCTTCCCATCCTAGACACTAACTAACATGAAGGGAAGTCCAAAACGAAAGCAAAAGTACAAGTAAAAACATAAAACATGATAACAAAGGGGATCTGATAGCCTGCCCTTTCAAACGCTGACTTATGAGAAATAGGCCATAGCCCAAGCCTTCCACCATGTAATGCGTCTGCTCCATCCATGCAATATTTTTGAAGCACGTAGGTATCATGGTGTAGAAGCCAACTGATAGGCCAAAGCTTTGAGACCCAAAGGAACGCCACTACGAACCACCAAGATAAGCCGATGATTGACGACATCTACACCCGAGGTTATTTTCGGACGTATATATCCTTAAAATAAAGGTAAAGAACTGTTTACCATAACCACATATAGTTATGGTCTAATAAGAGTAGGATTTTAGATATCTTTTTCTAACGTTTCCAGTGATGAGAGATAAAGACAAGGGTAGGTGCAGACACAAGAGGAAGTATCCTTGCATATTCCCGTAGCGCTGGAGCCATGTAATGCCTGGCATGACCTCCTGCATAGGTCATCGGAGCAGGAAGGAAAATTATAGAGCTTAATACAAGTTTTGCCCATAGGTTGTTCCCTTGGTACCTCAGCTGCAGCTATTGCGGTAATTAAAAGAGAAAATTATTATGAGGTCTTAAAGAAGGAACGTAGTCACTAAAAACTCTCAATGATAAAAATTATACCAGGTTATATAATATGTTAAAAAAAAAAAACTATGTCAAGTTATATTAAGCAAACAAAAAAAAACAAAAGCAGGTTAGAAGCCAGGTTTACCGGCAGTGAGAAAGAGAAGGAAGAATATGACAAATATCTTGTTGATCTCCATGGAACCCATGTTTGAAGGATATGATATTGTGAGAGATGATAAAGCTAATAAGAGAGAAAATTGTACAGAGGAACGGTAAAGAAAATAGCAAGAGACGAGTGTAAGTTATGCCTCCGTTCACGAGGGTTTATATAGAACAAGAGTGGGACATCCTAATTTTATCTCTGTTAAACATATGTATTTTTTTATTGGAGTCAATCTTATTTAAAATACTATTGAATACTGAATCCTATCTTTTCTCGTTTTTTTCCCTCCTGTTTACAAAAGAGGGCCCAGGCACATATTCACAAACTATCATCATACTCCAACCTTAACAATAGTCCACCTCAGCCTCCTTCCAGATTCCCTCCTGCCAACCTTATCCCTCTCGAACTCCATTCTAAGTTAAATACAACAATAATTTAATTTGCTTTACTTGGTGGTCCTTGCTGATTTACATGGGATTCTGCTGCTTGGGTAATGCACCTGTCTCTCCCTCCTCTCCCTCACTAAATTAATTGTATTGGCATATTATTTAATTTGTCTTACTTGGTGGTTCTTGCTGATTCACATGGGATTCTGCTACGTGGGTAATGCACCTGTCTCTCGCTCCTCTCTCTCACTAAATTAATTATATTGGCATTATTATTTAATTTGTTTACTTGGTGGTTCCTGCTGATTCACATGGGATTCTGCTACTTGGGTAATGCACCTGTCTCTCGCTCCTCTCTCTCACTAAATTAATTATTGGCATTATTATTTAATTTGTTTTACTTGGTGGTTCCTGCTGATTCACATGGGATTCTGCTACTTGGGTAATGCACCTGTCTCTCGCTCCTCTCTCTCACTAAATTAATTGTATTGGCATTATTATTTAATTTGTTTTACTTGGCGGTCCTGCTGATTCACATGGGATTCTGCTACTTGGGTAATGCACCTGTCTCTCGCTCCTCTCTCTCACTAAATTAATTGTATTGGCATTATTATTCACGGCTTCAATTCCCACCCAAAAAACGTGAACGAAATGAGAAGAAGGGAAGGGACGAAGAAGAGGTTAGCGCCAAGAGGAACTGGTCCCAGAGAGACAATGGTGAGTGGTCCTGTTGATACGAAGTGGTCCATTCGGGGTCGGACCCTGTGGACCCCACACAGCCCTTAAATGAATATAAAATCCACACGTGAACTTGTTTAATCGAAACAGTTTGTTGGGAACATGCTAGTCCCTCGCAATATAGCTTACCAAAATTCAAATCCTGGTTGAGAGATGTCTACGTTCAGTGTTTGAAAGTGCGTCAAATAAGATTTTCTCTAATAGGCGCTCACTGTTCTTGTTCCTTTTTCCGTTTCAAAACAGCGGCTGCAATTTCCTCCCCACACTGCTTTTGAAACTTTTGCTCCTTCTTCCATTTTCAAAGCCATCGATATTGGATCGTTGAAATTCTTGACAGTTTATGAAAAAATCCTTGAAAATTCGGGAGAAAAATCCTGAGCACAGAAAAAGCTACGAGTAAGATAGGATCGTTGGAATTTTTGTGAGAAATTATTTCATGTGGAATTTTTCTTGAAAACTGGACTAATTTATAAAAAATTCATGAAAAAAAAAACAAATAATTAGTGATTTAGATTTTTATATGATGCACCTTAATATATATTAATCCTGATAAACTGAAGCAAAACAATTAATGATGCTTCATTATTTTGCATGTATAGTTAGCAATACGGGTTCTGGATTTGATGTTGCACTATAAAGTTTTCATGTGCAGCTGCAAGGAGTATTTAAATTTAACAGTATTAATCCCATGGCAATAAGTAAAAAAAAAAAGCATAAAAAATATAATGGTTAATGCCATTAATATCAAATATATACGAGCTACATTATTTATAAGTAATACAATTGATCTACTCTATATAATTTGTTATTTTTCAATTTTCTTAATATATGTTATCAGACTTTATGTAGCTTTTTTTTATTGGTTTACTTCCAAGATTTCTCGTACTTATTCTACTATAGTTCAAAATTTAAAATATTTCGGGTCAACAACATTTGAAAAAGTACAATCGTAAACTTAAGTTTAAGAATATTAATATTATCCATTTTGCGCATCGCATGTCGAACGAAGCCCGTTGGTAAGTAAAAAGGATATCATTGAGTTATACATACAAATACGATACAAGGATGGCTAAGTTGCCTAAAGCATTATTTTATTTTATTTTTTGGAATCTCAAAGGATGTTTCTTTTAGAGGCGAGAAAATGAGTCGAGTTCGTTTAAGCCCATTTAAGTTGAGGGTCGGGCTTGTAATTTGAGGTCTTCAAAGAGAACTTGGACTTAAAAAGACCAGCCCTGTAGGGCTCGAAGATAAAAAGGCTAGCCCTATAGGGTCGCGGGCCAGCCCGTTTAAACTTGCCAACAATAATTTTTTTAATTTATATATTTTTTTTATCCTAACCTAAGTCTCCAACATTTTACACACTCTCCCTCTTTAAGTTTCACTTTTAGTTTTTCACTCACTCTCAGCTAACACTTCAATTTCTAATGATATTAAAATAAATAAAAATATATTCTCTACATCCTAAATCGGATTTCAAATTTGTATTTATTTGAACTAGTAATTATATATTGAAATAAACAAAATATATTCCCCATATTAAAACAAAAATTATAATGATTGAATCAACAAATACATATTAATTTGTATATATGTTATAAAATTTTAATAAATAAGTTAACACTTTTTCTATAGTGACTATATCATAATTTTTACTGTATATTTAAATAGAGTTAGACAGGCAAGTTAGACAAAATCAAAGAAGACTATCCTCAACAAAAGCAAAAAAAAAGATGACATAGTTAGCTCATTAAAAGCATACTTTAGACTTCTCATGAGATTACATGGTAAAGTGATTTTCATAATTAAAGCTTGAGAAATCATTGATATTTTTAGAAGTTAAAAACAACCTATTACTAGTGAAGCACAATCAAATACTCATACAATTAATGATAGTGATGATAGTGTTTGTCCACTTTTTTTTTTAATGAAAATATTTGTCTACTTTTAATAGAACTTTTGGATGTTAATGTCATTGACTCATTATGTCTAATGGATGTTTTAGATTTTTGGTATGTTGATGGACATTTAGATATGATAGTCTTTTATATTTGTGACTTAATTTTATTCCTATTTGTATCTTTTACTAGTAATTTTATTAGTTTATTTTTATTTTTGATCAAACATATGAAAAATATGAAAATGAAATTTTTTCATTAAACGGGCTGAAAGCCTATAGGTCGACCTTGAGCCCGTCTGCTTAAGGGCCAAGCCTAATAAATTGGGGTATTTTTCAAATTTCAACCCTACATGGCCGGCCCTTTTAAGCTCGCTAGCCCTGCAAGGCTAGCCTATTTTCCCAGCTCTAGTTTTTTTTGACCCTAGTGGGTGGCCATCCATATTTGGATATTATTTAATTTGAAATTGAAAATCACCCACTAGTAGACTAAGGAGGGTTATTAGCTCTAACAGACTAAGCTAACTCAGTATGATGATTAAGATCAAGTCTAAGTAAGGCCACACTCTTCTACTCATCAAAGGGCCATGTTAGGACTTCTAACCTTAAACACCAGAACTGGAAAATTTAGGAGGTTATCACTAATTTCCTATCAACAGATCGTAGTTTGATTCTTTCTGATGCACATAATCCTCTTAGAAAAGGAAAGTGCAGAGCATAATTGAATCTCTGAAGACAAAATAAGATATTATGAGTTTAGATTTTCAGGAGAGACAAAAGAGATTTAGAGAAAATTCATGGAAGGCACACTTATATCACGCACTGGCAGCTTCCGGCTTATAGCTCTCAAGTAGCCACCGCACCCTAATGCGCAATTCATTGTACTTTGCTCCGTTTCTCTTCTTTGGATTTCTTCAATTTCTTCCCTCTCTTAGAAATTTCCAAATAATAATTTTGAAGAGATATTTTTTTCTCATTAAATTAAATTTTTTATTCCATCCGTTTCTTAATATAAGACCTAATTGAATGATTTAGAGAGGTTAAAGAAGCTAAATAAATGACTTAATTATAGCATACGTCAAGTATCATTAGATTATATATCAATTTATAAGTCAGGCGAATTAGTTTAGAGAAAAATAATAAATATAAACACTTTAAAGTAATTTATTTAGTTTTCTTAATCTCCCTAAATTAATCAACTAGATCTTTTATTAAGGAACAGATGTAGTAGTAGACCAAGTAGTTTATTAGAAGGGAATCAGTAATGAAAGAGTACGTGATGGCATTTTTATAAATAAATTGTAGTAGTATTAAACATTTTGCACCAAATCTTTTTAACTGGCATAGAGCGTGTGACCGATGACGTTTTTCTAGAATAAGTTGTCATAGAGTTAGACTTTCTACACCTTGTTTAACTAGTGTAGAAAGTTAAATTTTATTTGACTTCTACATTGGTTAGGAGCACAACCTGCGTAGAAATCCCTCCAAAATAAGCCTCCACAATCCTTTGTAAAACAAAATTGTTCTCATGATACAAGAGCTTTGGTCTTACCACTACCATTTTGTGACTCTAGAGAAGGAACAATCTTTTTATTGATATTCTTTGATTTTGACAACATCATAGCGATATGATTCAGTGACAACTACTCTGGCATATATCATATGGTTGTGATTGATGTGATCTAAAGGTATTTTTGTTAGGAAAGCAGTTGTTTTCTATCAAAGTGATAAATGGGTGAAAAGAAGATTATTTGGAATATACATATCTATATTGGTGTCCAAAACATGGCCCTTATAATATCATTTTGCTGACTTCATAAGTGTGGATACTACCCATATACAATAAAGACAATCTGAGTTTTAAACTGACTTAAGAGGGATTAGATTAGCTATGAGAAAAATGTACATAGGCAAATTTAGGACATGAGGCACAATCTGACAACAAGTCCACTCTGCCAATCCCAATGAAAAGGATTTCTAATACAATCACCTGAATATAACATCATGTCCATGTAGTCACGGCAAAGTCCCTAACATGAAAAGAAGGAAAACAAAGAGACTGTACTTATAATAAGCAAT